GTTCTGCTTATTCCTGTCAAATAATGATTCTGCTTTCCGCTAGCCCATTCATGCTGGAAGTGGAGATGAAAAGAAACGGACTTGGGAGAAGGAGTAGCAAATGTGGGTTTACATCCCAGTTCTTACCAAAGGACTCAGTCTCATCATCTGAGACTGAGTTTCATCATCTATAAAACAAGGGTAACAGACTGTGAAATTAGAAGTGTATGTACGCAAAGTATTTTGCATGCAGAAGTCACTCAAGATAAAAGCTCTAAAATAATGAACAATTTGTAATTCTTGAACATCTTCTGAAAGTCTTCCCTAAAATCTCTTTCCAACAATGTAAAGGCCATTTCTCATAAGTGAGATCCATGAAGGCAAAGAACTTTGAGAAAAGTTCCACATTCTTTTGGCTCCAGTTATAAAACTAATATTACAAACTGGGCAAGAAAAAGTCCTTTAAAAACTGTTGCACGTTGACGGGCAAAGTTTTATTTCATAAGTCACTTAGATAAATGTTGAATTGGAATAATAATCACAAAGGAGAAAGAAAGAGAGAGAGAGATGCCATGTTAGCCTTACAAAGTCCTACTTGAGTTCTCTGTGGTGGGATTTAGGGAAGGAATTAGGAAACCCAAACACTCAGCTAATAATCCTGGTGGATGTTGAAAAGATCAAGCACTTGTCAAAAGTGATAACATCCCCAAACAATAACTCCAAGAAGGACACCACAATGTTCTTTGTCATAGCAGAAAAGCAAACTACTATTGGCAATTCCTAATTTAGAGACAGGTAATAGCCCTAGCCTGAATTTGGTTTCCTAGGTGTAGGAGAACATATAGCATAAAAGAGAAGACATTTTTCCTTATGCTTCCCAGCATAAAGGCAACGCCTAGATTGGATTGGGCAAGATACACTAAATTTTTGCTTCTATGTATTCACCCAATTTCCTTGGTTTCTGATGTACTTTTTCTCCTATTTCCAGTCCCTCAGACCATCCAAATTTCCTTCAATGAGAACCTCCTCAGATCATGTTTTCAATGTTCCTGACATGAAGAATTCATTCAAAATAAAAGCTCAAAAATAACAATTTCATAATTCCTTCATATTTTCTGTAAGTCTTCCTTAAAGTCTCCCATATCCTCAAATTCCTGTACAATGTATAATGGACTCCTTTTCCTTCTCTCTCCCCCCAAAAACTTCTCAACAAGGTATCAATTCTACAATAAGTATGATAAAATAATTTATTCTAATGTATGATGGGCTGGTAGTCCCATGATCATGAAAGTTACTTGCATTTTAAATGAGGAAGATCATTGCCAAAATCAAGGCAGAATCACAAGGTATGAAGTCAATATAGCATTTTTTTAAATTGGGAAAATGAGGAAAGAACAATTAGGCTTTTAATACATGAGTCCTCAGGATCTCCTCCTTTAAGCTGATCTGATTTTCTTTCTAGATTCATTTCTTCCTAAAAGTCTGCTACCCTAGATTTTCTATGATTTCCACTTAGTTTTTGTCTGTTTGTATCCAGAAAAATTCCCATAAAAACAGGGTCTGTGGCATAGGGAGAAGAGGTTGATGTAGGAGAGGGCACAATTAGGGCAATGCTGGGGATGAGCACATTTTTCATCTGAATATTAATAAAAACCTATATAGTTACTAACATATAAAAGATTGCTCCATAATTGGGGACATGACATTTAATATCACTGCCATTTACAAATATATATATATATATATATATATATATATATATATAGCCAGATATGAGTACAACAATCGCTCAGGGCATCGGAGGAATGAAAGAATGGCTTCCCAAACCATTATAAATACTTGCCAAGAAGCCTCCCATTTCCCTGGAAAGGTTTCAGGAGTCTACACACTGCTGTGTATATGCAGACAATTGTCAAGAGCTGTCACCACAACCACTGTACAAAAAAGGAAGCTCAATCCTTGAGAGGCTAAATGTCAGACCCTTAGGGAAACAGTACTGAGAAGAGAAGCCAAGTTCCTAATTCCCACGGCATCCTTCACTGGAGCCTTTCCTGGGCTACTTCCAGAATGTCGCAGCTCTTAGTCCAGCCATTGCTGGTATCAGAAAGCACAGATGTGCACAAAACCACATTTTAAATTGAGCATTTGGATTTGTTTTTGCTTGTGTGACTCTCTGACATGAGTTCTTAGATCAGTGGTTCTCATTTTTAATCAGATAATAAACAAAACTTCATCTTCTCTGGGTGAGCCAATTTTGAAATGTGACTGATTCTTGCTACCCAACAATGCAGCTGGTATGAACTTAGAATTTTGAAGCCACACTACTACTCACTGTACGGTGATTTTTGTGCTTACTGCAACTTTTCTCACATTTGGTTTCTTATTCTTTACAATGGGAGTAATCATGTTAGCTTAATAAAGTTGTTATGATTTGACAGCAATGTTATCTCTCACATGCATCTGATCTGCTGTTTTCCCCTCTTGCCTCTAATCTGTCTGCTATGAACAGAACAGCTAGAGAGGCCCTATTGTACCATGAGCCCCACATTATTCTGCTCACTCCCCTGCTCTCATGCCTCCCATCCCATTCAGAAGAGTGGTCAAAGTTCATCATTGGCTTACCTCTCTGACCTGACTGACCTGACATCACTCTTGCTCTGGATCCTCTGATTCCAGTCACTTTGGAACCCCTCACGATTCCTCAACTATTCCAGAAACAATCCTGCCTCAGGACCCTTGCACTTGCTATTTCCCTCACTTGGAAACTCTTGCCTTGTATATTTACATGAATCACACTTTGCTTTACCTCTTTATTTAAGTTATTACCTGAGAGGGTTTTCCCTAACTTTCCTATCTAAAATTACAACTTGCCTTCTTCCTAATATTTCCTGGTTCCTTTATTTTTCTCCTTAGCACCAACTAACATGTCCTACACACAATTAATTGTATATTTTATTGTCTGTCTCTCCCACTAGGACATAAGCTCAATGACAGAACTTTGTTGAGGTATTCACTATGTGGCTTAGTGGAAATTTCCTAAACAAAGTTTAGCCATCTCTTCTTCCCAGGATAGCCCGACAGCAGTGCCTGGTACATGTAGGAAGAGCTTAGTAATTCGTTGTTGACCCTACGACTGAACCCAAAGAGCTTTGAAAATTATGACCTTTGAAGCATGGGAAAGGAAGAAAAGAAAGAGAAAGAGAAAAGGGAAGGAAAGAAATAGGGAAAGGAGACAGAAAAATCATGTCAGTGACATGGAAAAGGAGAATTGAGCAGCAAAATACAGAAAGGAAATGAATGTATCATAATCAAAAAAGTCCAGGAAAGAAATAAGAGGAAACACAAAGGAAGAGCTGTTCTTCCCTGTTCACTCAGTATTCACAAGATTTAACTCTAGATTTATCATAAGCTGGAGCAGTACTATCCTCCGAAATTTGGGGAGCATCTTCCTCTTCTGTGAATAACTCCTTCAGTTATGAATGAGGTCACAAGGTCATGGTGAATTTGTGACAGTCCTAAAGCACATAGTGACTCCAGGATGCAATTCATGATCAGATCAAACTACTCTCCATCACCCTCTATTTTCTTAGGAACCTGACCTGAACATATGTGTAATGCCAAGTACCCAGATCACCACTCTGAGCCATGATCGAAACCAGAAGTGTCATACTCTTCCATACATAAGCGCTCAAACACAGACAAATACACCTCCTTACCACACAGATTAGATCCTTAATCTTCCAGCAACTTGTGGACCACAGATTCTACAGGATTCTTACTCAGATCTCAAGTAGTGGCATCCTTTGAAATAAGAGGAATTGCTGTTAGGCTTTCTCCTATTTGTGGGGTGTTTTCTCCCGCCACAGGGGGCCCTTTTCTCTCCTGAGTTAGCCTCTACTATGATTTTCATTTCACCCTCATGGGAGTCCTTTTTTCTCTAGCTCCTCAGTCTTACAAAAACTATTTTGTGCTGAGGAAAGCAGCATTCATTCAAGCATCTTGGGATTTTTGTTGTGGTTGTTATTTTAATTTAGCTAGAGCGACTTCATCTCAAGGATTTAAAGCATGACGCAAGCTTTAGCTCATGCACCAAAACAACTGTCCAGAGCTAAAACATAGCTGTATCTGCATAACAACTTAGCAGATGGGAACAGCAAGACAAGGTCAGGTTAAATAAATTGCCAAGGTCCTGGTTCTCTTGAAGTGGTATTGTATTCAGAATTGCTGAGCCCCAGTGCTTGCTTGCCCCATGTATATCTCTCCCACTCTCCTTGTAAATGATACTGTGACATAAAGTTAACCTATTGTATGTGTGGAAGCCACAAGCCTTCTCTTAACCCTTTCGTTTCCTTCTAATGCCAGATTATTCAAACCATGGCGGAAAAGATTGGATCATAAACCCGTTAATGACCTCACTGCATTGCCATACCAGTAAAATAAATTAGTAGAAACTACCACCCAGGGACTCTTGGTCTATCCTAAGAACTAGTGTGGGCTGTTTTTCAAACTCTAAAAGTATTCGCAAGCACTTTAATTTCTTCAACAAATAATTACTTTGAATACACCTTGTTTTAATTCTGAGAACCTAAAAACATAAGAATCCTTTAAAAATGCAATGGCCCACCTGCCATAGAGAAGAAAGATGCGGAAGATTAAATGTGTAAATAATTCCTGCTTTAATACCCTTAACTAGAAAAAGCTTGCAAACCGCACATCCACAGGAAGCTTCTTAAAGTCACAGACTCTTTCAACCTATCCCAAGGAACCACTGGATTCCAGGTCCCTCCAGCACCACTCCGAGTTCAGAATTGTCTGCCACTTAACCTTTTGCGCTCGCAGGTCTCGGAATTTTGCAAGGTATGAACTCTCAGCCTTTGAGGGGAGAGGACTTGTCAGGGGCGCGGGCTGTGCCACGGGGAATCTCTCCATCAGTGGGCGTTTAGCGCAGCCAAGCGACAGGCTGGCGCCAGGGCACAGCAACAGGGAGGCGCCGGCTGACGCGGGGAGAACTTTGGCGCTCGGAGCAGAACCACCCTTTGCTGGCCAGTCGCGTCTCGACTCCTAGGGAGCAAGCGGCGGTGGTAACTGGGAAGAAAGATAAGGAAGGAAAGAGGAAGCAGCGAGGGAAGAAGGAAAATGAAACTGGTGCTGGGGGAGCCCGCGAGAAGGTGGCCGACAGTGGAAGAAGGCAGATTTGACTGCTTCTTCTCCACACCCCAGGAGTGAACGCCCTCTCCTACGCGACCCCAGGAAATAAGTGTGTCTTGCCTGAATTGAAAAGGAAAAGAATATATCCAAGTGAGAACGTTGTTCCTCTGTCACCGCTGTCCCCTTGGAACTCCCGCTGCTTCTCAGCCCAGCCTCCTTTCGGGGCTGGACGCAGTGCCCAAGGCGCCCTGCAGATGGGGCGGGCAGGGAACAGGCGCCCAAGCCGCGGGTGACAGGCGGTGGCCTGCCCGCCTGCAGGGACCGTCGCTCAGGGACCGGGCGGGCAGAAGGTACAGGCGGAGGAACCTGTGCGTGGGATCTGAGACGGCCCAGGGAGCACTAGGTTCCAACTTGGATGGCCTGGAGACCTCTACAGCTCCAAAGACCGCTCCAGCTCCAGGGTCCGCTTCACCGCGTCTAGTGAAGCTGCACTCCGGACCTGGAGGCGGAGACCTTAGGCGACGGCTGCAGAGGGGCAAGCCGGGCGCAGAAGGGGGCGCGCTTTCTCCCTGCGGGTCTCAGTAATGAGGAGACTGAGTTTGTGGTGGCTGCTGAGCAGGGTCTGTCTGCTGCTGCCGCCGCCCTGCGCACTGGTGCTGGCCGGGGTACCCGGCTCCTCCTCGCACCCGCAACCCTGCCAGATCCTCAAGCGCATCGGGCACGCGGTAAGGGTGGGCGCCGTGCACTTGCAGCCCTGGACCACGGCCCCACGCGCAACCAGCCGCACTCCGGATGGCAGAAGGGCAGGTGTCCAGAGGGATGAGCCGGAGCCAGGGACTTGGCGGCCCCCAGTGCCCTCACAGGGCTCACGCTGGTTGGGGAGCGCTCTGCATGGCCGGGGTCTGCCTGGCGCCCGCAAGCCCGGCGACAGTGCGGGGACCGAGACTCTGTGGCCGCGGGACGCCCTCCTATTCGCCGTGGACAACCTGAACCGCGTGGAAGGGTTGCTGCCCTACAACCTCTCTTTGGAAGTGGTGATGGCCATCGAGGCAGGCCTGGGCGATCTCCCGCTTTTGTCCTTCTCCTCCCCTAGCTCTCCGTGGAGCAGTGACCCTTTCTCCTTTCTGCAGAGTGTGTGCCACACCGTGGTGGTGCAAGGGGTATCTGCACTTCTGGCCTTCCCCCAGAGCCAGGGCGAGATGATGGAGCTCGACTTGGTCAGCTCAGTCCTGCACATTCCAGTAATCAGCATCGTGCGCCACGAGTTTCCGCGGGAGAGTCAGGTGAGAGGAGTCAGTCGGAAGCGTGGAGTGGAAACGTGCGCTGCTGGGAGTCAGGATCACGGCGTGGGGGAGGGGGAAAGAAAGGGCTGGGTGACTTCTGGAGGGACTCGGGGCTTTAAAACTTGGATGTTGTTCAGAGACTGGAACGCAGGTAGAAGGACCTCAGTAGAAGTAGAATGAAGTATTTTAAGCACAAATGGGAATAAAATGAGAATTGGGGTGGGGGTAGTGGATGGAAGGAAGAAAGTGGGGAGAATCCGTGAAAAAAAAATGTGTTTTGACCAGCTTGGAGAAATCTAGTGGATGTGTGACAGAAGGAAAAGAAGAGGTTCTGGACCCCGGAGAGTGATCGAGGGTCTGGAGACTAAAGCAAGAATGGGTGTGGGGATCCCTGATGGCTGTGGTGTTAGAACTCCCATGAGGAACTCTGAGAGCCTGTGACAGAAAAGGCAGTATCCGACCTTTTTCACTTCTTGAGGAGGTGCGCTTGAGCCTTACGCAAGGTGTAAGGAAGAAAACATAGCCCTCTGAATTCCTTTGAGTAAGTAGAAAATCTCCAACTCGTACAGAAGCCTCCGTAAAGAAGAGTGATCAGTAGTCTTAGGTACTGGAAAGCAGTAGAAACAGTATCTGGTCACGTAAAATTGACAGTGAGAATCATTTGGGGATTGTTTCTTTGTCCCTACCTTCCTTCTATGTGATGTGGGTTCACACGCTGGTACGCAATTGCTGTATTCAGCCTATTACTGCTGTAATTATTTAAGAAAAATGAATAGGAATCTAATGATTTAGTTTCCTGTGGATTAAAAAAACTATATTTTCAATAAAAGAAGCAATTTGTGAACTTAACTGTGGACAAGTAACAATGACGAGATAAATATTCAAGGAGGATACATAGCATTTAGCTATAGAAGTTTTCTGCATTTTATGGATTACTTTTATCATTGTATCAAATTATATTCAGCCTTGCACAAATTATTTAGGAAGCAAATGGATAACTGGCACTGTACCCATTTTAAAGACTGAAAAACTAAGGAAAGTTCTGAGATTTGATGAACATTGGTCAGTATACTAGTTAGTAAAAGAATTCAAACCCTGGAGGATTTATGATTCTTCATCATCTTCACTCTGCACCTTTAATTGACAAAATAGTTCTAACCTCTCTTCTTCTGCTTTCGAGATTGTGTGCTTGTGTATTATATATAAAGAAGAGATAAAAACTAAAATGAGTAAGGGCAATGCACAAATGAAAAGTTTGATAGGATCTGTGCATAAAATATCAAGGGAGTACTAAAAAACTCTTTTTCTAGAAAACCAAATCTTATATTTTTAATCTTAGGAAGGGAAAGTACAAACTACTTTCAGCAGCTGCCTGAAAGAGTCTTGTTTAATGATGCGCTGTAGAGATTTGATCTGCAGAGTGTAGGCTAATTAAATTTTATCTAAAATATTTCTGTCACCTGAATCCGAATGGCTGCAGGCAGCAGATGGGGAGGCATAGAAAACACAGGTGCACAATGCTGCCAGTGGCCAAAGTGTTATAAACATGAAATTGCATCCATAGGGTGCATCATTATTAATGTATATGCAGAATCAGACCTAATGAAATGCAAGAGTCAGCACTGCTCGCTTCTCATCACTGCTTCTTTATTACCTAATACTTCAGAAGTTGCCAATAGCAGTCACAGTCTCCAAACTCCTTTCCATTTGCAGATTGTTTGGCAAGAGGCTTAAATAGAAAAAATTTTCTCCCAAAATTAGTGTTCCTTAGTTAGAAGGGAAATTGTGTTCCATGATGAATGTGTGCAGTGTACAGCACATTACCAGAGGGGGGAACAAAAAAACGATGGAGCAGCATCTAATCTAGAATCAGTAAACTTCAAAGCTTTAAAGCCAGTGGGGGAATGACGTCCTCCAGGGACAACACTTACAAGCTGACTAAAAATAAATACTCTGCTCAGCCCATTTCCTTCTGTATTTCAATTCAGAGCCATATTTTAAATCACTGTTGTCACTGATACTTTCATGGTACACATTTTGGAAGGGAGTGATAATTATATTAATCAGACTTTGTTTGTTCAGGACATTTTCTTTCATCTCTCTTTGTATTTTAAATTCAAACGTACCTAACTTGCCTCACCTTATTTTTAGTATTACATTGAAAAGTCAATCTATAATATTTTATATTTAAGATGTCCTGCTCAATGTCAAATCACTGTAATATGTAATTTTAGGATATGACCACAATGTGCTTTCAGCAAAATTAATAACTGATATTTCTCCTTGCTTCTCCTGAAAAGTGGGCTTTTCTCTAACACACTGATAGGATTTTCTTAAACCTTCTAAATATAAAGTGATGTCAAAGTCATTTTACACATTAAATAAAATTGACTTAATTTAGCCACTATCCTTGGCATCTACTGCCCAGTGACCTACTTTGTTGATTGTATCAGTGCCTGGATGAATAAAGTATTCTGAAGAAAAGGACTTACATATACAACCAAGTAAAATAAAATTATGTCCCTTATTCTAACAAATCGAGATTGCTTTTAGAGTAGAAGCAGCAACAGCTGTCTTCACTCACTTTCTTTTGGTCTGTTAATTTCTCTCATATGAAGGTTTTAATTAACAAATAATGGTTTTAGTAATATCCTTCCAGAGCTCTTGAATGGAAGGAGATACCGCTGAGATTATCAACCCCCTGAGAAATGCATAATAGTTTATTTCAACATACCGTTCATTCAAAACTGCTAGTCCTCATCTTGGGAGGAACTAACTTCCTTCAGGCAAGAAAATCCTCAAAGTAAGTCAGTTAGGGGGCACTGGTGCCTCACGCAGTAACCCTTGCTACTTGGGAGGCAGAGATCAGGAGTATCACTGTTCAAAACCTGCCCAGGGAAATAGTTTCTGAGAGCCTATCTCAAAAATTCCCAACATAAGAAAGGACTGGTGGAAGAATGGCTGCTTAGCAAGTATAAGGGGTGGGGGGGAGTAAGTTAGTTTACCCACATGGAATAGGTCAAAGCACATTTCCATCCTAAAAATTCTGACTTCACTAACACACACTCAAATCCCCAACTGAGGCTCACCCATTTTGTTTAAATAACCACTTCTTCGTTCAATAACCGCTTCTTCATTCTAAATTCCATTCATATGACCTTCAAATAGTGATGCAGCACTTGAGCTTAGTTCCAGATACATTTCAGTTACATTAAGTTCCATAAATTATACTTTCTTTGTGTTCCCTTCTCATGCTACTTTATATTCTAGGGGGTTGTATCGTTTCTTCAAAGTTAATTCCTGCTGAGGTAGTGACAGATACACCTTTTTACTAAAATATGTATGTCATGTTTAATTCCAGATTGATTCCATTAGGCAGAGTTAATGGAGTAATATAACTGGCTTAAATCCAAACCCATGTAATTCCACCACAGGTTTGCAGTCTCATAAGCTGTATGTACTAATTAATATATGATATTACTCCATGCAAATATAACTGCTTTAGATGGTCCGCTTTCTCTGGCAATACGGGAGCATGTACTAAAGCCTATTTAGTAGAATTTGGCAAGCACAGCACAACATTTGTATGAATAATGAAACCATTACAGACTTGGGTGCCTCACGCGGGTACCAGTAAAGGACATTTATTTTTTAAAGTATCTGTTCTCAACTATGTTGGTTTTCCTTAACTTGTTCTATGCAAAACACACTTCTCTGTCCTCAGTGGGGAAAGGATTTTTCTACAACTTGTGATGAACAGCTGATTGTTGCTGACTTGAAGATAAAAGATTTCAAATTAAATGTCAAGAAATGCAAATCTTGCAAACAATCCAAGATCTGTGTTCTTCAAGAGGAACCTGGAAAAGATCACTGCTAGGAAAAGTTTTGTATTTCTTGACATTTAATTTGAAATCTTTTAATTTGGTAATTTGTTTATATCATTTATTTAATTTCTAGATAAGGAGGACAGAAGAAACTAGAACATACCACTTATTGGTCACCCACTTTTCTTTGTGATTAGTGTCATTTGTTTTTGATCTTACTTGACCATTATGTCTTGGAGTTAATTTATGATTGAATTAGCTATATATACCAACTTCAGTGTCTAAATCCTTAGTGTTCTCTGGTGTTGGAGAAGACTCCATGGATTTTGTCAAATTAGATTTTATTTCACATATACTCCCAGTCAAGTTTTGACCACATTGGTTAAAAGAAGCACAGTGCAACTCAAACTGTATGAAATAATGATCAAAAGATTTCCAATCCACTTTTGTGTCTTTCTTATTAGCCATGTGATCTTGGGCAAGTGACTCTGAGTACCCACTCTTACTAGTCAAGAGAATATTCCTTACCAGTCTGAGTTGTTTTATAAGTGAAAAGTATTTTGAATAAATTTATAGTTTTAGTCAAATAACTAGTGGAAAAGTGCTGATCATGATCTGATAAGAATCAATAAGTCTTGTGATCAGGTGTGGTGGTACACATCTGTAATCCCAGCTGCTCAATAGGCTGAGACAGGAGGATAGTGAGTTCAAGGCCAGCCTGGGAACATAGTGAGACCTGCCTCAAAAAAAAAGGTCTTGATGCTTAACTCACTCTAAATTAGTGATTAATATGAGATGTGATTCATAGTATAACATGCCTCCATCTCCTACCTTCCTCCTACCTATTCCCTCATTTTCTTCTCTTGAAAAAAAGAAGAAGGAAAACTAGGTTCTTAAGTAAGTTGCACATTTGCCTGGGAAAAGAAGACAGGCTACAGTACTGTTTCTGCATCAATGGGAATTTTTACCTTTGTTATGTCTAACACAATTTCTAGAACCTTAGGTATTGTCATAGATACTGCAGCAAAATATACAAGGTTTTTGAGAAATCTTGGTCTTTCACATTGGTCAGAAGTTTTTTCTACAGGCAAATTTACCATTCAAGAGACTACGGGCAAAGCAGACTCTACCCTACCCACCTTTATTCCACCAACTATATCTTTATGCATACTACTT